GCACCACTCCCGGCCTGAAAAAAATGCAAAACGGATCGGATCACTTCCAGACAGTCGCGCGATGTAGACAGATGTACAGATAGACAGATGGACCAGTTAACATGGACCAACAATCTCACCAGTGTTGAAGGATAACCACGGTTGCCTTTTTTGCAATACATGCGTTCCTGTCTTCCGTCTTTGAATTATTGCAAGTGCGAACTGAGCAAAACAAAATCCTTACTGTACGGGAGAAACCGTACTACCATTCAGCCCCGTAACATTCTTTCCATAGGGGAAACTTTGGTCGCTCTGCGGGACGGAATAAAATTATCCGATCGGAATAAAATTTTGCACACATCCTTGTGTCATAGTATCGACAAGATTTCCGACCCGGCCCGACGAATCCGACAAACTTATCCAAAATGGACCACACTAATATGTATGTATGTATACATATAATATACTTTATGTAAATATTCAATTTAATAATATTGAATATAAATAAGGTATTAAATGTGTATATATGTAAAACATAATGTATATATAACACAGTTTACACTTTTAACTCAAAGTCTGCAAAAATACTGCCATCAACTGTTCAGTGCCAATTGAGATATCATATTACAGTTCCAAATTGTGGAGGATGGATATCTGCAGCAATTGTGGAAATGGAGATGCAGAAATTGATCCTGACCTCACCAAACGTCACAAAACTGTGTTACCATTATGTAGGGACTGTGTTAAAATGAGAATTGTGCCTGTTTGCCAGCGACCTTTTGGCAAGGTGGCAAAGTTGAAATAATTCTACTTGTTACCAGCAAGTTGTGTCTCGTATGCCAAAGCGATACTAACAGGTTTTGAGTTCTGAAACAGTCAGAATGTTTTATGTTTTATGGTTATTTTGTTTAAATTTTTGATGGGAAAAAAATAAAAAGATTTCAAAAAAAACTTTGTCCTACTCCCGACCCGATGCTTAAATTTCATGTTACCTGAAACACACTATCTTTTTTGTTTGGCCTTACAAATTGAATGGTAGGAATGCTAACCGCACATATTCAACTAAAAACACTCACCAGGAACGTTATCTCCTCTAAATGTCACGTTGCAAGGTGGTGGTGGACCCCAAAAAGCAGGCAAGAGGGAGGAGCAGGGTGTACTTAAAGAATTGTATTAAAACATAGAAACTAAATCCAGAACAAACAAAGTCACGAAAACAAAAAGAATCCAAAGTATCAAACAAAACCGGGACTGAAGCAAAAACAATCAATAACCGAGACATGACCAGAACAAACATGACAGCAGCAAACAGCCACAAACAATGACCCGACAATGAGTAGTCGGCCGGGAGTCCTTTTATAGCCACTAATTAACGACCAACAGGTGTGCAGCTGCAGGGAAAAGCCCCACAGTGCCACCTGTTGGTCAAAAACCGAAACATGACACTAAACGCTTCTCTCGCCTTGGCAAAAAAAAAAAAGACTGTCACAGGATTCAACTCCACTATCTTGCACAGCTCGAGGTTCAAAAAACAGCTTTCATTTATCCAGAGCCATTTTTCTTTCTTTTTTCTTTCGCATAGGAAAGTGCTTGGAAGTTCGATCCTTCTCGCAAACAAAATGTCTTGCTCCTCGTGCTGCGGTGCGTTCAAGGTCCATCGGAAACATCACTAACGCTAATAAACATCACCTTAATGTCAGTGAAACTAATCATCCAAGAAAAACTATATTGCGACGAATGTTTGAGCTGACACCAGAGATAGAGGCAGAAGTAGCAGAAGTCTTATCTGAGCTCAACCACTCTTCAAGTTTGCTATTCAATTTCGACGAGTACCGAAGATAATTATGCTTGAGTTACACCCCGAACATTCTATATTTGGCGGCTATTCGGAACAGATATACATTAATGACAATTTGAAGGCTACCGGTGATACAGTTTTCCAGATATTGTTGAAAATGGCGTTTCAGAGTATTTTCATTCAATGATCTTTGAGAAAACTATTGACAATGGAGGCGTAAAATTTTGCCTATCAACGGCTTTATCTTCGTAGTATATTTCAAATATTCTGTGAGGAGATTTTCAGATATTTGATGAAAGGACACGTCATGAGGCCAGACAGAACACCAACAATAAAAAAATAGTGTTCACTTTTGGTGTGGCAGTCATTGCAATATATGTTTATTCAGTGGCGGGCCGTGCATTTCAACCTTAGGCCTTCATTGACGTCACACACATGAACGCAATACTGTATAGGTTTGTCAAGCAGCACTTAATTTCAGGAGCATTTAAAACCATCAAGTATGCATTCACAATTAAGAGCAGGAAACTAAATTTACAGATAGTCAAAAATAAAAAGATGATTTAAAAATACGAAATAAAATGCCACCCAAATTACGCTGTGTGATCTTAAACAAGTCTGTCCAACAAATTGTGCAATGTCGCAGTTTCATATAAGACACCAACCAAACAAAAACAAAACAAACTATTCTTTGAAAATAAACAGATCATTTGCATTTTGAAAATCGGCGATACAACAGCAAATAACTGAAAATGTTGAGCAGCTGAGATTGAACGAACTTTCGTGCACGAAGGTGACTACAATGCGCCATTATAAATTGCAGGTGAGCAGATTTATTTGATTCATGTTTGTATCTTTGTCATTTTATTTCGTTACCATGAATTTAATACTAACGAAATAAAATGACAGGAAGAAATGTAAAATAAAATTCATTGACTCACCAATGTCGTGCCTGTTCACTGAGGTGCAGATCTACGCGAGTGTCCCCAAACGTTTTTAAACGCACCGTAGCTTGTAAGTGCCCAGCCGTTTCCTTGCTGCCTTAGTAAAACAATCCAGTGTGGCTCCAAACACCAAATCAGTCAGTTGCAAGCAATAGGCATTCCCAGCAGTACGAGTTGCAGCATTTCACAGAGGCTGTGAGCCACGGGTAGCGTCATAATTGATTGTCTGAAAATGAGAGACAAACCCGTTTCCTTGCTGGGACAGGTTAGCTAGCCCAGGAGTTGGGCGACCTCTTTGCACAATATCCAGCTTTTGGTGGAAGGTCCGTCTTGAAAATTGTGTGGAAAGTAGTTCCGCAACCAGATCAACGTCTTCTCCTTCAGCCATTTTTTGGTTAAAATGCATTGATAGCTCTCGTGGGCGGGCGCTCATCCAATCGTTTTTTTTTTTTTTTTTT